AATAGTTAATTTGATACTAATATCGATATATTTTTGTCAAATTTTTATGATATCTTCAAACATATATTTTATTCAAAAATAAAAACATTATCGCTTTCTTAAAATCACATAGAGCCATATTATAACATCGACTGAGATAAAGAATAAAATGAAATATTAAAACTACGATGTATCTCGCTGCATTGCACGAATACGCTTCTAGTATGATATAAAAACAATTACCGTTATAAGTCAATTTCTTGATCGCGTTGTCATTTATGTCTAACGTTCTTTAAAACATTGCAAACATTTATATAGAATATATTTTTTATTTTATTAATTATTTTATGTCTTTTCTTCATCCTTAATAAAGGCCTCGGCAGTGAAGGTAGCTAATAATCCAAAAAATGGGTAGCCAGGAGCACAGTGGCGCTATATGCGGTTCGGTGGCGGAGGTGGTGGTGGTGATGGTGCCCTTCTTAGCTCATGGCCATCTCAACCAGCTCCTCCACCTCTCCCGCCGTATATCCTCCTATAACATCCCCGTCCACTTCGTCAGCACCACCAGCCACATCCGCCAACTCCGTTCCCGCCACCACGATTCCGGTCAATACTCCGCCGGCTCCAACTCCATCCATTTCCACGAGTTCCCAAACCCTCCCTTCACTTCTCCTTCCGACCATTCCATTCCTTGCCACCGACAACCCGTTTTTGACTCAACCCTCCATCTCCGCCGCCCAGTAGCCGACCTCATAGTTTCTCTCTCCACCACCACCAGGAGAGTCGCCGTCGTTCATGACTTTCTGATGTCGTACGTCGTCCAAGACGTCCAAGATATTCCAAACGCCGAGACTTACATCTTCACTCCCCTCTCCGCTTGCGCCACCTTCTGGTTAGAGTGGGAGAGATATGACAGACCTTTTCCGGTGGACTCAGAACTTCTGAAACGAATTCCGTCCGGTGATGGAGCTTTCTCGCTTGAGTTTTTAAAAGATGTGGAGATTCAATACCCACTTATGAATTCTCACGTTGGAGAGTTAATCGATTCATCAACAGTTATTGAAGGTGAATATCTTGAATATTTAGAGAGAAAAGAACTCAAAGGGACCAAGAAACTTTGGGCAATCGGGCCATTAAACCATGTTAACAAATCATCAGCGACGGTTTCTGAAACCCGTCACAAATGCTTGCGATGGCTGGACTTACAGCCTACTAACTCCGTCATTTATGTGTCGTTTGGGACCACAACGACCTTTAGCGACGAACAAATTAAAGAATTGGCTATCGGACTAGAGAAAAGCCAGCAGAGGTTTGTGTGGGTGGTTCGAGCCGCGGACAAAGGTGGCGTGCTCAGTGACGAGCCGAAAATGGTGGAGTTTCCGGATGGGTTCGAAGCAGCGGTGGAAGGGCGGGGATTGGTGGTTCGTGAATGGGCACCGCAATTGGAAATTTTGGGACATTTAGCAACGGGTGGGTTTATAAGTCATTGTGGGTGGAACTCGAGCAYRGAGAGTATATCAACYGGYGTRCCAATGATCACKTGGCCRATSCATTCTGATCAACCATGGAACGCGTTTTTGATCACGGATGTTCTTAGAATTGGATTGGCGGCGTACGATTGGGAACACAGAGACAAGTTGGTGACGTCAGTGGTGGTGGTGGATTTGATTCGAAGACTAATTGATTCGAGGGAAGGGGAGGAGATGCGGAAGAGGACGGCAGAATTGGCGGATTCCGTTCGGAGATCGGTGGCCGACGGCGGTGTAAGTCGTAAGGAGATTGATTCCTTCATTTCCCATATTCGCAGGCAGTGACAACTTATGTACCCAAAAAGAATCATGTAACGACGCTTAAGAAGGTCCCTTAATTTTCATTTGCATGGTAACACTTTCAATTTTCAGTTATATTAAAATATTCCCGGGCCGAGCCATAATTCTTTATTAGAAAGGGGCAGGTTACCATCCAGGATAATATAATATAAGGGGTGGTTTGATAGTTATTGAATGATTTTGTACAAAATAATTAAGAGGCTTTCATGATATAGTGCAAAATAAAATATAATTGTTTGGTAATTGCTTACGATAAAATTAGGGTGTTGAATGGTTAAGTGAGGTCCATGATACAAAATCATTCAGAAGGTTTTAGAACCATTAAAAGACAAACCTTTTTTTGTCAAACAAAATTCAATTCTTAATGAAACTATTAAGAGATAAACAAACAACCCATAATTATTGTTTAGTAAATATTTTATATTAAACGTGTAAAAAGACTATTGTACCCCTGTGTTGATGATAAGTGGTAATAAAAATATATCGTGTAACATATGTTTTGAATTGAGTCCAAAATAGCGTTTAAAAGCATATTAATATGAAATTTGTTGGTGAAAATGTAAATAAAAGGTAAATGAAAAAAAAGTTATTTTGAGAATGAAGTACAAGGTAAGCATATTTAATAAATGACAATATGAAAGCATATTTTTGATCATTGAACATAAAAATCCAAACTTTTCTTTATTTTATTTTTTTTACAAAAATATATATTTAAAATATATGAAAATATTCACATGATACATAGATAGACGAATGATTGTTTGATAATAAGAGTTAAATGTGAGAAGCATAAAAATATATCTAGACCCTTGATCATTTTTAATCTCACACCTACTTTATGAATTGGGCTTCTTAACGGAATTGATCTGGTGCATCTCATTAGAATTGATCTTCAATTAGGATTGATCGAAGAGTGAAAATCTCTTCTTACCCTTCTTCTATAACTTTCATTTCACTGGAACCCAACCCTATATATATATATATATATATATATATATATATATATATATATAGGAGCGTTCAAATAAAAACCTGCCCCATTTGTGTAAACCGTGTAAACCGTGTAAACCAATCTCATCCATCCATTTTTTTTGATCAATGGTCAAGATTAGTTTACTTTATTTTAGGAAATTAAAAAATATATATTAAAAATTTATTTTATTTCAACAGTAAGGGCAAAAATGATAAACAAAATTTAACATTTGGTAACATCATTTTCGATATTAATGACACTATTTTCATTTTTTAAAACAATATATTATTTTTAACTTTAAATCACATCCATCAATAAAACATATAAAAAAATGAATATAACA